CCCCAAAACCCCAAAACCCCAAAACCCCAAAACCCCAAAATCCCATAAACTATAATAATAATATAAATATCCAGAATGGAGCAAGAGGCCGACTGCGACCAACAAGGTAAGATCTTGGGACTACACAGGCTGGCGTGGTAGGAGCAGTAATGGTGAACAAGTGGGTGTGGGCAAGGAAGGAAAAAACCTTTTATTTTGCCTGAAAATTTTATTTTTGGGGATTTTTAGAAGTTTGTGTATGGCTTAAAATCGTATCTAAGTGATATAATTCTTGATAGACTTATGCATTCAAATATTTTGGTCACCTCTCTTAATCTTAAATATAGTTGAAAGATTAATATTCAAGCATAGTTCAAAACTAGATAAAGAGCTACATTGATCAGTTTATTCGACCACTAAATTAATGAAATTTATTTATGGGTCATATAACAATTTGAGTCTATTTTTAGAGAGATACTCTGATCTCTCATTTGTTAAGAAAGATGGTATTCTTGTGGTTCCACCTTGTGATAATATATTCATAAGCTTATTCCCAGAGAAGAATCATAATGTTTCCAAATTCTTAGCAAACTCTATAGCAAACAGTGTCTGCAATCTTGAACTATTCCTACGGAACAAATTATGGCCTATCAATAACTATTTCCCAGAATTTATGAGAATCAGTTCTAAAGTTCTACAGAGTGTGTGCTTTGGAGATTTCAGAATTAATCAGAAGCAACTCCAAAGAATAATATCTGCATTCAGACATGTGGGAAATATTAGCATCTTTAGATGTGCTATTTCTGTTCAAAAAGTTCCTAATTTCAAGTATGCATTGAAGAACTGTAAAATTAAAACATTTGTCTTAAGTAACACCGGCCGCTCCATTTTAAAATCCTTATTTCAGACTCCAGAAGAATTTATAAACCTGGTCGAAGGGCTTTCTACATCCCCTGACTTCAACCAAAGCTTGGAAACATTCAAAATCCTCTCTCTCCCATACAATGAATCCTGCATCAGGAATATTTTGAACACCTACAACTTCAAAACTGCCATAATCAAAAAATCTTGGTTCTAAAACCTTCTTTAAATCTCGTGTGAATTCCCAACTCTTTCAGCCCAAGTACTGCTTTTCTTTAACAATATTAAGGCTAGTTTGGTTTATTAATTGGATTGGGTTTTTGGGGTGTAAGGAAGGGATGCTGCTTGGATGCGGATATTGAGGATAGAGGGAGTTGGGGCATTTTGGGTTAAGAGTTGGGTTATTAAAGAATTGTATTTTTTAAGGATAATCTCTTCATTTCACTTCTTAATCATCAATTTTAATTGAAAAAAGTATCAACCACTCAACACCTTCAAGGGGTTTTGGGGTTTTGGGGTTTTGGGG